ACGAGATATATTGCATTTGAATCAAGGTCGTTCATGGGAATTAGAACGAATATTCGGATTGCCACGATTTTTACTCTGTTATTTTATGCTGTTATTCACTGAAGTCACATAAAACACATGATCACGGACAACTTTTCGTGTTAGAAATGAAATCATAGTTTCTATGAGGAAAAGATCTTGCCATATCTGGCATATAGTGGAAAATAGAATGCTGTTCGAGGATGGATAATTCTGAATGTCAAGAATTATTGGGATATTCTGCAGAATACTATAATTTATCATAAAATAATGCTTTTACATGAAAATTGTTCCAAAAAAACTATAAAAATCCTAAAAATAGAGTACGGTGAAGATTGGGTCAAACACCAAGCATCTCACTAGTGTGAATTACACTGTCCCAGAAAGAAAAAGAAGGTTGGGTTATTCGCTTAGCGTTTTTAACCATATCAATATCATATTTTTCCACCACAATGTTGGTAATATATTTTTGGACGTTGAATGAATAAATCAACAATAAAAATTATCCACTAAGAAGAAAGAGGGTAACATAGATGAAATGATATGTAACTCATAACAGGATAAATATGTGAATACAATTACACAGTGAATATGATCAAATACAAAAATAATAATTGACTGGGTTGATCAACGGCTAAAGTAAAATCAGTGAAAAAAACATTTCGAGTATAACACATATTATGTTATGAACAATGACTATACTCAGTAAATTGGTTTCAAGTTTGTATCTAAATGAAGTGTCATTCACGTACAGCGTATATTAAGACTATACATTTGTAAGACATTGTTCACCAATAACTCCACATATATATGCTCAAGACTTCGCAACATTGAACTGCACCAAGATTATACATTCATTGACAATTCACACAAGTTTGGTCAAAATATGAAGAAATATTGCTGGAGTTAACCGAAGTTAACCTTAATACATTTCTATTCATTATATTACATGCTTAGTGATTAAAAGTAAATATTATAGCGATCTTAGATGAATACACAATGTACACGTTATGATATGTGTTCAATACAAAAATGGTTTTCAATTTATATAAAATTATTACAGGTCTTACCTGTACAGGTACGATGATCAGAGTTCAGTATGTAACCATCGTCACATGTACAAATATAATCAGGTTCTGTGTTTGTGCAATTGTGTTCACAATGGTCTCCATCGATCTCACATTCATCGATATCTAAGTGGAATAAGTGAGTGTAAGTAACCATATTGTATGGATAATTATATCATTTTAAATTACCAGAATCACAATTTGATTGTTGCATATTATCAATAATAACACAAAAAAGTGGAACGATAGAAAGGAACAATTTGAACATTGTTTCGCTACCATACTCACCATCGCAATACGTTTCATTAAAAGCATTATATCCACTGTTACAGTAACACGTTTCACTTGTCCCATTGATAGAGCACATACCATTCACACACACAGTAACTGTACAATTCTCGTTTGCTGAAAGGAAAAGAAATCTTTGAATATATTTATAATTATTGTGCGTCATAGGATATATAAGTGTAGTAAACATTTATTAACTGTCTAAGTAGTTGTGTTTAATCGGATTGGCTTACACAAGAATAGACTATTCAATTGTCAATCGTTTGAAATTTAGCATACGATTGTAGTCGTAGAAATATAACATAGGCGTGGCACAATTGGCTGTGACTAACACCTGTACATAGAACAAAAGAGTTCCAGCTGAGAAACCAACGTAGGTCTTAGCAGATATTAAACATGTAATGCACATGTAAATCATTGTGTCTATGTTCCATTTACATAAAATTCTCCTCTATTCTTTTCGTTTCCTGGGTAGGTCATTCTGGCCATTGCTAGTGTGCAATATTATTTTCTGCATGTTGTCTACAGTATTATTTTGTAAATGAAAATTAGAACTACTGTAGATCTACACACTTGGACACTATGTTCAATAAATAAATTCTTACGTTGACATATTCCATCTATCATTGTAAAACCATCATAGCAGTCACATATATAACCATCTGTGAAAGTATTGTTGGGTTCAGTGTTGATGCACTCTTGTGTGCAATCATGAGTACCAAGGAAACACTCATCGTTGTCTATAAATAACAAAATGAATTAGCATTAAATGTTGCAAAGAGGGCTGAATTCTTCGTTATACTAGTCTGACTTTGTTATGTACGACAAATCTGTCATTTTTTTTGCGAAATATGTTTTATGTTCGTAAAAGTGTTCTGATTCCTGCATTGCTTACTATTCTTAACTTAATAAGCGCTTAACATGATCACGGGTTAGTAATGATAGAGGGCGTAACTATAGGCATAGATGGAGAATATTATATAAAGTAAACGAGGTTATACAGACAAGACTGTGTGAGGGTACTAGACAGAGTCATATTACCTGTGCATGTCAGTCCATTCACGTCCAGACTGTAACCATTATGACACGAACACGTGTAACCTCCCATCCTATTTGTACAGTTATGTTGACATCCATTTATTGTATCATTAAGACATTCGTTTATATCTGAAAATAATAAATAACATTGGTGTGGTATGTATGTAAATTGTAATGTTATGACAACAACGTGATTACCATCCAGTGGTCTGTATTAGGATGACCAATGTTACACATCTGCTAATTTATGTTAATATGATACATTACAGCTTTACAGTGACAGTATTGCCATGTTTCAGTAGACTACGATGTTCTCAGTACACACCTTAAAACTATGTCATAGAAACCAGTCTTCTCAGAAAGACTTAATTTACTCTTTCTGTTGCTGTGTTTTACACAGATACACTATCGACCACTATAAGTAAACTACATAAATATTATCTATACGATTGTTTCATATGGTAAAGCACCTTTCTCCAGATTAAACATTACGTGTGGTGATGAATAAAACAAAGTTAATGATACACCACATCCTGTTTATCACTTATATAGAAAACCCATTAGCTAATTAACTGTACAGCAGTTCAAATAAACACATGTGTGTACCCTTAACGTCGGTATACGAGGGAGATATACGTGGGAGTTGAAGTCCCAAAAATACACTTGTCATTCAGTGCAAGTCTATACCACAGAGCCAGTAACGCCTACAGAGAGTCTAACACTGACAGTTATGTTATATCGGCCCACATGGGCCCGTACCGTACACGCCTATTATTCGGAAGTAGTACTGAATCAAAGTGAATGCGTACCACCAATATGCACTTTTCTGGGATCTAACTACATGCCTGTGTACGGTGGATGTTGTGCTACAGTTATAACATTGCCTGTATTTGCGAAGAAGCTCATTATTGACGTATGGCACTGCATTGGGTAAACACAGAACACGTGATCACATCTCCACCCTTACTTTGGTTGCACAGTTATTTAATTTAGCCAACTTATTATTGTTTTTTTACATTTTATTTACAAGTTTATGTGTAATTAAACCATAGTATTTTGAAGTATATGTGTTTGTGTTGTGTGAATCATTCAGCTGTAATTCTTATAATGTTCAACCCAGCTTCACGATCCTAGCACTATCCCGAAATGTTTAACCTGATTAGATTTCAGCCGTTATACATTGCATTCAGGAATTGGTAATGTTAATTGTTATACTTTGTGGTCTTTGCAAGTCTGTATGGAGTATTAGTAAATAATATGAAGTATTACAAGTTAGAAGCGCATGAAACATCAGTTATAAATTTGATGTAACCAATTTGTAAATAGTACTTTAACTCTTCTAATGTGCGATGTGTTAAAATTAACGTCCTAATAGTTTGATTAGTTTGATAGATTATTTCCTATTCTATCCTCGGGGGCAGAGCTACGTCACAAGACGTATCACGTTGCTAAGACACGCACCACTGTACATGGCTCTGTGCGCGCTGATGTGGAACGCCGGTCGAGCTGGTGAAAATTCGAGAAAACAACACAAACTCAAGCTTTGAAGTAATCCCGAACAACCAAATTTATATATGTTACACACGTAGGGCTAATCTTGTTACACTGTTCAGAGGAGTCTCAACAATCACCCCAAAGTACCGTTTTCTGCGAGTTGTTGGCCTTTGATTTCACCGCGATGGTTGCCAGGCGGTGAAAATGCCCGGATGTCCGCTCGAGGATTCATAACAAAAATATATATTACAGATGGGTGTGGTTTACAATGAGTAGATCATCTTGGAAACTCAGAACCCATTCTATTTAAATCAAAATCGTTGTTGCATTATATACCTATTAATACTTAATTATCATATTTATTTATGATAATGCTATGGGAACCATGGCTACAGTGGTTGTTTTAAATTGACCCTACCTTAGCAACGATAGCAAAATGCCAATCCTCGGTTCTCATAGCCATTTCATTTGTCACCCTTGGCAACGAGACAAAACAACCTACACAATAACCATGAGAACCCATGTACACATATGTTTATTTTATCATGTTTAAAATGAGTACATTTGACAATGCATGTCAGCATACTATAATATAACTATGCTGCTACATTGAATCATTTATACTTCCTTAAAGTAGAGATGCAGTTTATTTGTGAATTTCAATCAAAAATAGTTTTTTTCGTTTTTTATATAGATTTTTATCTAAAGAACATTCTGTGAAAATTTGACCAATGAATTCTTATTGGAACACCATTAAAATTGCTGTTTATTTTCTGGTTAAAAATAAAAAAACACTCACACGTGGCAATGTTTATGTCCAATTGCCTAATTTGCATGAGTAATCAAATAACAGGACCTTTGATTGACAATATGCATATCGAGATTGTACGGGTCATAGTTCATTCAATTCACGCGCATGTGCAATTATTCTCGAATCAGTTATCGCTCGCTAGCAAACCAAACATTATATTTCCTCAGCGTTTTTTCCTAATTTTTATCATTACATTATGCGTGGTGTGAAAAGAAAGAGAGGTAGAAAGAAGATTCAGA